AAATCCCCCCCCCCCCCCCCCCCCCCAGCTAACCACATTCTTGTCGTGTGCAAAAAAGAAAAGAAGAAACAAGAAGGAGAGAATGTGCTGAAAATATCTGGCAGGTGAAGAATGAGCTTACAGATTCTAATGCCATATCGGCAGCAATTTTCTCTTTTCGAGCTATTCCATAGAGTGATCCGAGCACCCCCGAACCGAAAACTCCAATTACGTTGAGTAAAGGTACAAAAGGATTTGACGGTTTCTCTATTTCGGCCGCAAGCTGTCCCAAAATAAACAAAAAAATTAAGAAAGTTTCGGGAATAGCAATCAAATTAACCGTATTTTTGTAAATTAAGCAAAGATTCAGACCTCTATATTTTCGTTCCCTTCTTGAGCCTTTACCTCAGTTTTCTCTGCACAGATCAAGTAGGTGTGTGAAGATTAAACAATCGATTGGTACCTATGTTTGAAAATCAATGGATCTGAAACTTGATATCACAACAAACTTCATCACAGCTATAAGTAATATTGATGCGGACTTTTAAACAATATCTGACTTCTTAAAAGCATACATCTAATTCAGAAAAAGGCATCAAATTTACTAACAAATCAACACGCAAAATATGGATAGTCTTGTTGTCTACAACTTTGCATCAGGGGAAAGTTCGGCGATTTAAGGCTACCAATTGAATAATGAAAAAACAAGGAGCTACTATTCCAAATAAACTCTGAATCTTCTTCTAGGAAACAAAATCAGTCCATAAATATAATCTATTCCTATTAGAAACAACGAATCTCCGTAATGATATGATATTGTACACTTTGAAACAAACTCTCGTAGGTTTGCTTTGGGTTTTCCCAAATGGCCTCATACTAATGGAAATGATATTAATTATTCATACTAATGGAAATGATATTAATTACTCATACTAATGGAAATAGTATTAATTACTTTTAAACTCGTGATCTTTCCCTCATTAGTCAATGAGAAACTACTCCTCCCAATAATGCTCAACAATCCCCCCTCGAACAAAGCACACTATAGAGCCTCCCCTGAGGCCTCCTTCTATGGAACCCTCAAACAACTTTTCCTTAATTGAGGCTCGACTCTTTCTCTAGATCCTTCGAACAAAGTCACTCGAGTCACTTTAACTACACAGTTGAAACTCTCAACTTCACTGTTTGAAACTTGAAGATTCTATTGATATGGCTAAGTTAAGGGTATGACTTTGATACCATGTTAAAAACAACGGACCTCTACAATAATATGATATTGTCCACTTTGAGCATAAGCTCTCATGGCTTTACTTTTAATTTTCCCAAAAAGCCTCAAACCAATAGAGATAGTGTTCCTTACTTATAAACTCATGATCTTCCCCTTAATTAGCCAATATGAGACTACTACTCCCAATAATCTTCAACGATCCCCATTTGGTAAATATAACACTACAGGAAAAGGTTAAATTCATAGTTACTGAGTTTGAACGAACAAAACTTAACTTATATTTCGTGGCTAACACATTGGAGTTAAACAACAAAATTTCAGGAGTCAATAATTAATAAAGAACCACACTGCAATCACCAAATCAAGCAAGTAATATACACAATAAGGGAAACAACGATATCCATCCATACAGCTACCTAATTGAGTTATTGCTCTAGAACTTCATACATCAGAAAATTTACAAGTGCCACCAAAATTGAACTCCTAATATATAAACTGAGAAAAATCTGTCTAATATAGAAGAAAAACTCCAGATGTTCCCCATATCAGAATTTCCATAAACAGAGCTATCTATCAGAAATTTCTTCGTTTGATATGCAAGCTGCCTTCATAATCATAATATTGTTAACTAACGAAACGCGCGTAAATTCATTGGACTATCATTTTCACAAATTGTTGAAATTAAACCTAATCAAATTGATACTCGTCTCGTCCAATTCCAAAACAACCACATTGCAGAAAGAACAAGCAACGGGACCAATTTACCTTGAGCCGAACTTTCAAGAGCTTGAGCCTTCAATTGCAGAATCGGAAAAACGGAAATACCGAGAAACAGAATCGCCCTCCTCTTGCACAATCCATCACCGTTAAAATAATTGTTTCGCTCCACAGCCGCCGGTACTCCGATTTTCTGTCTTGCCGCTGCATTCCTTGAGGTGAGCGAATTTGATTGTGAAGAACACGAAGAACAAGGAATCGAAGAAAATGGAAAGCGAGAAACATGAAGCGGAGCCTGGAAAAAGCAAGTGCTTCCCATTGCAAAGCCCATCATCGATTTCACAGTTCTATCTTCGACTTTATTTCCCTTCCAAGATAATTGAAGACGAACCAGAAACCTTTGTTTTTCCTATCCCTCGCGCCCCCACCCTCCTGCAGCGGGCTATGTCTCGCCGATAGTGAAATGACTTTACTACCCTTCTTGGATTCTTTAAATTACACTGCTCCCCCATTGGCTACGGTCGTTAAACTTCCATGTCACTTTCGTAATTTCATACCGATTAGTGGTTCCACGTGGATAGTAAGAACGTGACATTTGGCATTTCTCTTTAACCACTAAGAACAAGCCACGTAATAAAAAGATCTACCTTATCCACAACCAGCTCGTTTTATGTTGCCAGGTCACTGTTTTTGTCTCCTTGAAAGGGGAAAACAGCAAAAATACCAACATTTTAATTAATGTTGTTGTTCGAGATTTGACTTCGCTTGAATTTGATTGATATCACTTAAAAATTCAAACTTGGGCGGGTCTAAACTACACCAATTTTATCATTTCAAATGTTGATAGTTCGATCAATAGTTATGAAATTTTAGAACAAAAACGAGTATTTTTTTCATGTTGATTGTATTTCAGGGTAATCATATGACCTAATAACCTGACGAATCCATACACAGCTCAAACATAAATGTCGGGTTGTGTTATTTTTTTTAATCTGGGTTAGGTTGAATTTTTTAAATATCTCAAATTTCGATTTGGTCTGCAAGTTTGACTTTTTTTGGGTCAGAATTTAACTCTACCTTATTGTTAAAAAGAGGGTGATGTGGTGTAACTGGTAAATATTTGATATTTTATTTACGAGATTCTAGTTATTAATATAATATATATAGTGGATTATATATATATATCAATAATAATTTAATAATAGAGACTCGATGAAATTATGGAACTGATTTTATTATTAGGATAATATAATATTTTAACCTAAAATAAAAAAAAGGAGTTGCCTCCAAAGGGCCCAGGCCCAATAAGATTCGAAATCCAATTTCGGCCCATTAATGAATAAACTTACGGCCCAATGGAAACGAGAAATTGGTCTGCGTACGTTAGCAGCAACCTTATTATATCTCCGTGCTCACTCTCTCATCTGAACTGTCCCCTTGTTTGCTTCGAAGGCTTTATTCCTTCATCTATCTCGGATTCCTTTCGAGCTCCAGTTTTGAGAACAAGAACAAGCTTTAGCTGAATCGCGCAGTTGCAGAACTCTTCGATTTTCCACCTCTTTGCTCGAGGTAAGAGCTCGTGGTCTGATATTCTCGAAATTTTGGTTCATCTTTGAAATTAGGGCTTTTGGAGAACAACGAATCTTCGTATTGTTTGACGTTTCAATCTTCCGTTCGAATTGGTGTTACGGAGCTATGTTTGTTCGATAATATCCTGGAGTCGAGAAGGTAGAGGAGTTAGATATTGCTTTCTTTTTTTTGCCCTCTCTTATTGTGGATGAATTAGGGTTTCTAGTATATTAAATTATTTTCGGATCTCGGATGAGACACAGGGGATCTGGAGGAATATTTATTTTCGTCTGTCGGGGTAGAAGCTCGAGGTTCTCGCTGAAGATTATTGATCCAAGACGGGTTTATGAGAATTAGGGAGTAAGGTTATTTGTGTGGTCGATTGATAAGAAATATGTTATTTAAGAACGGAGGAAGCCTTTTTTGTGTTCATAATCGCAGTTTGGTTATCTGAAAATGTGGATTTTGGTATAATTTGAAAAGTGGTTGGATTTCTGAGGGGACTAGCTCTGAGATTTTCTGTTGTTGTTTGATCTCAAATGGACAACGGAGAAGAAAAATATCCTTTGTCCGAGCGTTACAGTGGGAACCATCGGGAAAGTTATGGTTCTCTACCACGTTCGAAGATTCCTCACCGGGATGCTTCTTATTCAAGGCCAGTCGCCAATCAGTATGTAGATGATGACGTTGAGGATGATGATGAAGAGGAGGAAGGACTTGGTGATGAAGAGGATGAAAATGATCAGAACAATGGTTTTGCTCACACAAGTGAAGAAGTAGACGATGGCGATGATGAGGATGATTTTGATATGGATGAAGACGACAAGCAGAACAATACTGTCAAATTGGATGATGTTGATTTGGAGAGACACCCGAAGAAGCGGCGTCTGAAGAATTTGGTATCGAATTATGAACTTGCTCCTCGTATGCCAGCATCATCATCTGTGACTATGGCACAAAAATCGTTTGTTGGGGGCAGAAATTCATTGACAGATTGGAATGAACACGAAACAGTTGTTCTTCTAGATGCCTGGGGCGAACGGTTTCTTCAACACGGGAGGAAAAGTCTCCGATCTGAGGAATGGCAAGAGGTTGCTGAGAAGGTGTCTGAGGTTTCTAAGATTGACAGGACTGACACACAATGTCGAAACCGCCTTGATACGTTGAAGAAGAAGTATAAGAAGGAAAAATCCAAGTCAACCGAAATGGGTGGATCTACAAGCAAATGGGTTTACTTCAAGAAAATGGACATGTTAATGTCTTCACCCCCTAACCAAGGTGGCCTCTCATGCGGGTTAGATTCGGGAGAGTACGTGTTCATGAACCCTAGAGCTTATCTGAACCGTGCAAATGGGTTCGATGAGATGAGAGACAGCCCTGATAATTCAGAATCGGATGATTGTGAAGACGATGAACTGGACGGGCTTCCCCCTAAGAAAAGAATGCATGGGAGGAACAGCGATGATGGCTCTTCATTCAGAATGCTAGCCGACTCCATTCACAAGTTCAGTGAAATTTATGAGAAAATAGAGAGCAGCAAAAGACATCAAATGATGGAGTTGGAGAAGATGAGGATGGATTTCTTAAGAGATTTGGAGCTACAGAAAAGGCAGATTATGGAGAGCGCCCAGGCAGAGATCGCGAAACTTGGGCAGGGCGGCGACGACGAGGAGTATGGTGCCTCCGCCAAAAGTGCCAGTGGTTAATGTAATCTTAAATCCAAAACTTGGGCAGGGCGGCGACGAGAGGACGAGGAATATGTTATTCAGCTGTCTGTATAAATACATGGGAGGCCTCTCCCCTATTATTCATATTTAGATGGAACCGTTCTTACTTTTGACAACAATAATAGAATTACAGGATTATTATTCACTTCCGTTCTCTTTTTTCTCATTACATGTTCCTTTTCTCGCTGCCAGAGTTTACTTGGAATTTGCAGCTTTGAGGCCTTCGAAGTTCCATGAACTATCTTACGGGCCAATAAATAATGTAGTTTGTGATTGGTTATTCTGTAATTTCCCAATAGTTTGCATCTTCACTTTAGTTTTTATATTTATTTATTTACATTAACGTTCAAAACTAGTCCCTGTGAAATTTTCGAAATCAGTTAAAAGAAGTCGAAGTTTAGACTGTCCATACTAGTTCGATCTACATAAGAAGCGATTAGAATGATATTCAAATTCATTTACGATCTCAATGAGGTAAGAGATCAGAGTCGAAGTTTAGACCGCTATCCTTTTAACACCCCAGCAAACTTCCTTTTCCCAACTCCCTCTAACAAGTAAATAAGCCATTTTGTCATAATGGAGATGATGATTTGAAGCAGGAAGATGGTTAATCAAAGATGAAAGAAATGAGCAAAAATTATACATTTAATAATTCTTTTGGAGTTCAAAATGGTATAGAAAGTAGCGCAGGAAAGATGAGTAATAGCCTCAACATTTCTCTGAAAATTTTGCTTTTGAGAAACCGGATTGATGGCGAATACTCGCTCCGGCAATAAAAGAAAACCCTAGCAAAAACAACAAAATACAAAACGCTTCACAACTGATTTCACAGGTCACATACATGGGCAAGCTTTCATCGACACATTTCATTTTTTTCCAGCTCCACAACAGTTCGCAATAAATAAGTGATTAAGCAAGGCATCCCAGCAGAAGAGATTAAGCAGCACTTGTAGGTTCAGGTTTTTCTGTCTCCATCTGATCTGTAGAGGCTGAGGACACCTCAGTCTCACCGCCTGCCTTTCCATTCGGGGTTGCGCTAGCGCTGGCATCTCCCTGTTGCTGCTCACTGCCTTGAGGAGCTGGGGGAGGTGTTTCGGGAGCAGCTGGCTTGGGTTTCGTCATTATTGGTCTACAAAACCTGTAGAATGCCATTCCAAACATGAGAAAAACCGATTAGCTTACAAACAATGCCGTGGATTCGCAGTTAACAACACTGTTTTCATGGATAGCATGCTCAAGTTTGATGCAGATATGCCCTGTTTTCAAAGCGAGCAAGCGAGGGCCAGGTGAAGAAAGCTAATCCGATGCAGATATATCCGAAAAGGATCACTAACCTGTCGAGTGTTTCAGCTTTCTTTCTCACATCAGCAGAAAAGAGGACAGGTGTAGCGTGTTTAGGTAGCGAGTCTTGGTGCTGTTTCTTCTCTCTTAACCAGGCCTCTGCTTCCACACATTCATTCAACACCTGCAGATTATTTTGATTAAGGGAACGTATGGTACACAATCACCCAAACCTAGAATTGCCTGGAAGAGATTGAAACAAGTACCTTCTGTTTCTCAGAGATGTCGATGTGGTCAAATTTTGGATCTGCTGTCACTGCTGCTTCCCTGTAACTATTGATGCAGTAAACAAGTTGATCAATCACAGTTCCTCTCTCCGTGTGCTCTTTGAAACGCTCCTCTATCGGGTCACCTTGCTGCAATCACGTTCAACATCAGAATGCAGCCAAAGATCACGCACAAAATAAGGACAGAATATCTTGTAATGATATTTTCTTCCTTCTAAGGGAGGTCAGAAACTTGAAATATGTCACTTACTTTCTTCAACTCCTCAAGTTTTGCAATGTAGACTCCCTTTGTTTCATCCTCCCCATCTTCATACAGCCAATCTTCAACCTCCTGAAGTCTGGCAGAAAGCTCTTCTCTTTGTGAATCAGTGACGAATTCCTGGTATTTATCGTGCAACTGGGAAAGAAAAAAAAAACAAAGACAAAAGACATTCGTCAGTTAAAGTGTAAATTCAATACTGAGGGAACTCGTAATAAAAAACAGGTGTTGTAGCTTACCTTGTTTCTCATTTCGTACACATATGCCTCGACAGCATTTTTCTTCTCTTTGGTTTCCTCCATTACCCGATCCTGTAAAGCCATTTCAAACTCCTTTTCCACTGCCTTTTGGACATCAGCTGCTGCCAATCCACCATAAACCAATTCTACCACGGGGATGTTGGTTTTCTTTACCTTCTTCTTCGGTGCTTCAACCTGAATGACAAAAAGATTAGCTAGTGTACTTGTTGACAAGAGATCAGCTAGGTGATTCAACCTTTATCGTACTACAATACAAGAACCACCGACCCACAAAAACACTAGTGTACTTGTTGCATCAAACATGGAGCACTAATTAAAGAGAAGGTAGTCCAACTCAAGTTGGGACTCTTAAGACTATTTAGTTACTCCCCCCAAAAAAATCATGATATTAAATTTATACAATTTTTTTAAAAAAATTAACTTGCTTGAAATAGTTTTGATGATAATAAAAATTAAAAAGAAACATTAATCAAACGTGAAAAAAAGAATGACGCATTATTTCAGAACCTTCAATTGATTATTCTACACACTGAAATCTGAAAGCCGTATGTATATATTATTTCCCCAAATTTTGAGGGGGAAAGGGGAAAATGATTCAAGAAATTGTTGATAGAATTGACAAACTGTATACCGTTTATCCAATAAAATTATAAGCCCTTTAATAAAAATTAAATATACATGTTAAGTGAAAGTGAAAAAAAAAAAAAAAATCGGAACCATAATGACCAAATAAAATGAAAGAGAGAAAAAGATCTGGATAAAGATAATAGTAAATTAAAAAGTATGACTTAGGGAAATCAAACTGAGAAAAGAAGGCAGAGTTTAGTCGGTCATAGATCTTCTCCAACTTGTTACTGCGCTAAGAACATGTAATCAGACTGTGCGTGGTTCCTATATTTAATTATCTATATATAATATTAGTGACCTTACTAGATAGAGATGTAAAGAATCAGAGCTACTCACCTTGGAATCCGTCTCCATCTGCACAGACTGGTCTCCTGACTCTACACTGCCGTTTTCAGCTCCAGCATCTGTGTTTCCCTTGGCATCTTGCATGTTAACATCGTTCTCATTAGAACTGGGAGGAGCCGCAGAATCAGCAGGAGATTCATCAGTCTCCATTTTAGCTGACTGTTCTCTGGTGACTGGAACCTCTATTTCCTCCTCTTCTAACAACTAAACATACAGAAATCACCGCTCAGAGAAGATTGAAGGCAAACATAGACAACAAAGTAAGAAATAAAGATCCGTGACTTAACTGTTGCTGATTCAACAGAAACAATTCCATGCAAATTAAGTCGAGCCTTCACCTTCACCTTTGCCCTTCCACCTTTTGAAGTTTGAAAAGGACCAATCTGGAAATGCACATTACCAACAATTCAATCTCCATGACTACATAATAGCAAATGCTTAAGCTACTCAATTTTTATGGTTAACCCTTACCGTGTATGTACTGATCTTTGCTTGCTGATCAGAATCAGTATAATGAACATCAACACTAAAAGTGCCAGACCTATAAAATGTAAGAGCCTTGACACTGGGTATGGGATTCCCCTTAGGGAAAACAACAGTGCTCTGCTGATTGTCCACTGCTCCATTTTGAGAATCTGAAGCAGCACCTTTCCAGGAGAGAGCTATGGAAAATGGGAAGTTCTCATTTACCTTCAAAAGGGCAAACCCGCGAATCAGGAGGAAAAATGCAAAATGCCAGAAAAAAAAAAAAAAAAAAAAAAAAAAAAAAAAAAAAAAAAAAAAAAAAAAAAAAAAA